AATATCAAAGGAAGAACAAAATGTTCACCAAAAAATTAAGGGAAAATTTTTAAATAAAAATTCAACAATTCAATCCCCAAATATTTGTCCCAAAATTTCCTCCCCAAACCCACAAAAGAACTTTTAAAATCCCGCCCAAAATTTGGTCCAAAATTCCCTCCCCAAGCCCGCAAAACACTTTTAAATCCCCCGCACTATATTTTGTCCAAAGGCCAAAATTCCCTCCCAGACTCCTTTTTGGTAACAAAAAATATATATAATATTAACAATATATTTTTTTAATTCTTTAATGAATTGACATTAGTTAAGAAGGGAAAATACAAAGGTTGCGTGAACCCAGGCCCAGCCTCATTGCAAAATGGTGACCGATGAGTTTGTTTTAAATTAGTGTAATAACTAATTAAAAAAAAAAGTTGATGGTTTGGACCGAACAACCCGCAACCCGACCTGTTGTAACCTGCAATCCGATCAACCCGAACTCGATTGATCCGCAACCCGATCAACCTGTAACCCGTTTGATCCGCAACCCGATCGACCCGCAACCTGATCAACCCGAACCCGCTTGACCCACAACCCGATCGACTCGCAACCTGATTAACCCGCGACCCGACTGAACCCGACCCGAACCCGCCCGATTGACACCTATAGCTGAAACCGTGAAACCACTGGGCTGGTAACGATTTTTACACTCATATGCAAGCAACTTATAGAGTGTTAAGGTATCTTAAGAAGTCTTCAGGACAGGGAATCATGTTTAGGAAGAAGTGTGATTTCTCAATCACTGGATATAGCGATTCAGATTGGGCTGCATGCCCTGACACGAGAAGGTCCATAACTGGCTTTTGTACCTATCTGGGTGATTCACTTCTCACATGGAAAAGTAAAAAGCATACAACTGTTAGCATGTCTTCTTCTGAGGCAGAATATCGTGCTTTAGCACATTTGGTTTGTGGTTGTTATGCACAGCAATCCGAGTGAGAAAAGGATTGGCTCATGTCAGCAACACTAGGATGATGGACTCAAGTGGAAGCGAATACAAGTTTGGAACTAGGCTAGCATTTTACCATGCGGCGCCGTTTTGTCTTTTTCATTATTTACTCTTTTAAACACAGAGTTTGTTTGTAATAATGAATCCATATTAGCCACGTGTCTTGTGCGAGTTAATTGGATTTGAATGGTGGTTAATCACTGTTGATTAGCAGTTGAGTTCTCTATAAAATAGAAAAACCCTAAAGAGGTGAGACAGCTTTTCCGCTGCTCTGTGCTCTCATCCACCCAAATCTGTTTCTCTTTACTTTTCTCAGGCCTTAACCTAGCGGATCATTGGCGGTTATCGACGAACTCCTTCTATAAGCTGCAACTGCTTTACGCCCCATTTCTCGGTGGTTAAGAACGTGGGTGGAGAGTTTAATGGCTGGAGAAGGCTAAGGTGATGCAGTGGCTGAAAGGACAGCTCCTTTCGTGTCGTTAACTAAAGGATCACCCTTCCGCAGTATGAACCCCATCTCCTATGTCCCCAACAACTGGATCGCGGCGGACGGATTGCTGCCAGACATCACCACCGACTCATTCATACTGCTTCATCAAAGTGGAGATCTGGATTTCGCAACGCGAGCCAAAGCTTCGTTGATACCGAAGCTACAGCTCCAGCTTCAACTTTTCCCGGTCTGCAATCCCCCGTGTCTCTCCGTGTAAAACCAAATTAGTTGTTGTTCTCATCCGGAATGGCGCTTTCGAGCTCAATTCCAGCACTCCCAAAATACTCCCACATCTCTTTAGATATGACACTACAAAAATAATGAGATTAGGGGACCAATATTAGGGGACAATTCCCTGATATTGTCTCAGCAAATACAATTTTAAGTAGTATTAGGGACCCGCATATAAATTGTCTCCATAAAATAAGGAATGTGATATTTATTAATTTTTAATTTTATTCAGTGGTCCCCAAAACAAATCTTATACGGCCGTAACTAATAAATCAGGAAGATTGATCTTTGAATTAATCATTGATATCCTAGCAATTCTTCATTCTAATTTCCCTCCTTTGCACATAGTAATTCATTAGCTGATATGGAGGTCGATATCTTTTCCTTTATCGTTCCCAATTACTAGCAATTTTACAATTTGTGTTATTATTTTCCTTTTAATATTTAGATTTGCTATGTAGATTATACATAAACGCAATTGAGTTGGTAAAGTAGTAAGTTGAATGCCTTTCTTTTACTAAGAGATTAAGGATAATTATACTCAGACTACAAGCACACTAAATTGTTGTCACTATAAGTTGCACAGTTGATTCATAATCCCTAATGATACCCCTTAATGAGTAACTAGCCTAGCTACAAGTTCTGTATGTGACAATTAGTCAACATGAAGACACAGTTTAAGAGACAACTGGTCGCCCTTACAAGTAAAATAAGTGACGTCAAGATGTCTCCAAAAACACGAGATAAAATTAGTCGTACTTGCAAATAATATAGGGAACAATTAGTCGTACAAGTTATATAGAAGACAATTATTAGTCCTTAAAGACACATGATAAGGGACAACTTATTGTCCCTTCAAGTTACATAGGAGACAATTTATCATCTCTAACAAAATAGCTTATTAAAGGACCATTGGTCATCGATAAATGTTATATATGTGACAATGTATCCTTCACGAAGCCACAACTTAATGAACACTTGGTCGTCCCTAAAAGCCACACAGATAAGAACTTGTCCTCTCGAAAAATAAAGTATAAGGGACAACTTCTTGTCCTTAAATAAATTTATTGGAGACATCTATTGGTTCCAATTGAACACCTATTGGAACAATAGGTTGTCCTCACAAAAACAAAACTAGTTAATATATATTGTCCACAATACTTTCATGACTTGTACTTTATAAGTGAAACTATAAGTCATTCTTTTATATTAGAAAGGATATAATTCATAATGTTTTTATCAAAGCCTGCTAATTAACTCTTAGTAAATATTAAAATACTTGCTCTTAAATTCTCAATTGTATTAAAATACTTAGCTCTTAAATATTAAAATACTTGGCTCTCTAGAATTCAACTTCATCTCAGCCCGTCATTTCAATAAGTTTTAATCTCAAACATCCATTTAGCTTTAAGTAACGATAGAAACCCTAGCTACATTCCAGTCTTCTCCCTCTTTTGGCCGAATGTTCTATTCCCTTCCTTCTTTCGGCCGATCGGCTCTCCATCTCTCCGTCTTCTTCTCTTTTCCGCTGGGCGCCGGCTCTTCTCTGCCTTTGTTCACCAGCGCTTCGCTCTCCTAGTCATTAGTGTCCACTCGATGGTAGGACTCATCGTAGTTCCTTTTTTTCTTGGTTTTCAGTCTTTGTTTCACTATTAGCTTTGGATCTATATATTTTCTTCAATATTGATCTTTTGTTTTCTACCAGGTCGACAACGATGATGAAGCCAGTGGCGACATCGCAGAGGCTTCTTTGGTCATGTTCCATGGAAGAGGTATATGTGGCGGCTATCCATGTTGACAGTGTTTATGCAAGTCAACAACGATTACAAATATGTTGTCGGATGGTGATGAGTGAAGGCACATTGCAGCGGATACATATTTTTGGTGGTGTTTTTTCGTGCTTCTCATTCTATTTGTACATAACAAGTACACACAGATCTTTTTCATTCCCATGGAACACCAATTCCAATGTTCCATTATATGCTTATTGCTATAATAAATCTAATTGTTGGAGAGATCAATTTTGTCTCTTAATTTGCTCAGTTGAGTTCTTGCATAGTTTAATATTTGTATGCGTTGCGGGGGGAAATGCAACGTGCATAAAAAGAAAGTAGGTCACAATTTTTCATCCCTAAGATTCAAGTTAGGAGACAACTATTCATCCCAAAAGGTCAAATGCAAATAACTTGTTCTACATCCATGAGGATTACATATTGAATCTATAAAAAAGGAAAAAGGGACAATATATTGTCCTCAAATAGTCACAAATCTTCTGTGAAAAGTGAATTATAGGGGACAACGCTTTGTTCACTATAATAATGTTTAGAGGACGTGTTTTTGTCGCCAAAACCGTAGCTATAGGGACGACATGTAGTCTTGCACTGAAAAGAAAAGGAAAATAATTTACAAGTATTGGGGACGATTGTCGTCCCTAGAATTGGGGTCGACATAGATTTTTTCGTCCCTGAAAAAATAGAGGACAAGAGTATAAGGGACCACACATTAGGGACGATTGTGTCGTCCCCATAATTTATGGGGACGATTTTGCCTCTTTCTGGGGACGACTTCTGTTGTCCCCAAACCTAATTTATTTTGTAGTGTGAAGACGGGGATGCGTTAATAAGGAATTTTGATGTACCGGAAAAGACGGGCACGGACAGGAAGAGGCGCCGGAAGAGAAAGACGGAAGAAGAATGCGCTGTAGCGAATTCCACCAGCCAGTAGGGACTAATACAGTCAAATTGGAAGACAGAGACGGAGGAAGAATAGAAGAGTGTTGCTATAAAATGGTAGGTTTAGGGCGATAAAATTTAAAAAGTTAGGGCGTCAATAGCGTCCCAGATTCGTTAACCTGTCACTTACCAGCTTCGTTAACCTGTCACTTATATGAAAGCAATGTACGTTTCGATCCTGCACATGTCCCATAAAGCTTTGACTTAATAACAAATCTTCTGAAAAAAAAAAGTCTTCTGCCTCCATAAAGCTTTGCTTAATAACTTGCTTGATCCTCGTTCGGTACTCAAACCGCTGAATATCACAAGTGGAATAGTTGTAATCAGTATTATGCACTAAGGGATTCATGATATAGAAAGAGGGGAAACCCTTAATAAATAAACAAAACCAAAACTAAGCCCCTGAATATTACAAGGAGAAACCAAAGGAGTATCGATCAAAAGTCTCGATTGCAGAACACAGTGATGAATAAGAAGAAGAATAGATTGCAGAAGGGAGAACAGAAAACACAGAAGTAAAGTAACAAGCAAAAGAGGTGGTCTATTCTCAAGGATGTCATTAATAGAAGTCCCCAGCAAAATTACTAGATGGAAATGCAGTTTGTCTTTCGCCACTAGGAAAACTACCAACACTGCAATCAAAGTCGAACTCACTGCTCAACATAAGAAATACAAACAAGGCACTAGAGTCAAGAGCTTTGACAACCACCTAAACGAAGTCATCTTTAACAGGAAAACCCGCAACATGCAATCCCCTAAAACCCTGATCTAGCTTGGTATGAACAATCTTACATCTTCCAAACAGCAAGACAGTTAACACGAAGAATTGGATAAGAACCAACAAATTGCAGATGTCTGAAACACTTAACAACCAAATCAAACAATATAAGCACTGTCAACCTTCAAAAACCTACCAGCAAATTTACCTGTCAAAATGGTTTCTCATCTTCGTGCCATTAATGTCAGCCAAAGCTTCCCTTTGCGACCCACTAGCTTCTTATAAACTTCCCAACACCTTTCGTCGACATACCAGCCTCCGTAGATAAACCCAAATCGATATGTGACATTTGATTTGCTACCCTCCTCATATTTCCACTTTATCATCTCATCATCAGGCACGAATCCTACAGCTACATCGAGGTGGGCTGGGTTTGGAAAGTGGAAGTAACAGTCCTCGCCAGGGCCCTCCTTATCCTTCAGACAATTCATCATCACAAAGACAACACTGCCGTTCACGCATTTAGCAAAAAAAATCCTGCTCGCAGGAGCTGGACCTGAAGTCAAATTGAGCGTTGATTGTGGATTTGAATTCAAAAAACTTGGAATTAGGATCTTTCGGATCGCCTATTAGGGCGTCGTAAGGAAGATTCTCTTCAGACTTAATGACATTCTCATTAGGATAGCGGGCCTTTAGATACTCCATGCAACGCCGTTTGCCTTCAGTGCCAACATCGCTAATCAACGACTCCAACTCCAACTCCGACTCCTTCGACTCCGACTCCTTCGAGTGATCAATCATTTTCCGAGACGACTCCGACTTCTTCGACTCCTGCTCAATCATTGTCCGAGACCCAGGCCATGTCTGTCTACTCGCAAACGCACGGGACTTAACGACGACCCCCGGGAAGTCCTTATGACTATTGAGAAATGTTCATCCTTCACCATATATGGCTCTTCGAATTGCTTTATCGAGAACCCCTAATATGGAAATAAGTTTTCGACATCTTCTTCCTGCGATTGGAATCACCACGAGGCACTTGTGTAAGACAAGGTTTTTCCCCAATGTAAAGACATCAAGAAATAAGCAGTGTCCAATGGGTAGGGCGAAACCTCCATAGCAATCCACTTGGCAACTTCAGAAACAGGGATTCCTTGGTTGGTTTGTAGACCCAAGTATAAGGAAGCAAGTGCATGGGTTCGTAGCTGAAAATAAATAAAGCATGAATATTTATTGATTTCATACAATAGTTAAAGTATACTCTGGCTTTGTATTTGCTCGAGAACTTTGTGTGCAAGATTATACTAGCTCATACCTTAGCAAAGTGAGCATGCATTAAACATGATGAAGATAAGTTGCCTTCTTAGCAAGCCTAAAGAAGCAATGAAGTTGCCTGTTCTGCAAGCTCTGAAAAAAGGGGAAAATTGTAAGGACGTGAAAAAGAGTATAACCTAATGATAATTTCATTAAAAAGAAGTAACTACCTACCTTGCAACATTGCGAGCAAAAAGCACTTCAGGGTTTTGCCTTATATCGGGAGTCATCTTTGCCAGATCTAGCGACAGCTCTGAAGGTTCCACCTGTTGAACATTGATTAACCAATTAAACAAAAGAAGGAGAAGAGAAAGGGAAGAAGGTGGCCAGCTGTAAGGAAAGTAAATGAAGGTAACTTACTTTGTATCCAGGATGCTTGTCCAGTTTGAGAAGAGCATAATACTCACGGAATTCTTTTACTGACTGCACAATAACGCCTTTCTTCCTATGATCATCATACATTTTAAATAATTCAACAGATGTTTTGTTGATATGTTCAATATTAAGGTGTGCATCGAATCCCTCTGAAAAGCCTTCTCCTTTTTTATATTCACACAGCTCATGCATAGAAATTACATGAAGCGTTATCTGAAATTCACATACAAAAGCAAAAGGGTTAACCTGGAGAGAAATCGAAATACTTTATTATGTTTAATCATGGGAAGAATTAACAATTACATGGTTTATTCTGTTAACATGATATCATAACCGATATAATAACCTACTCAAATTTCATGGCATGATAAGGTCAAGCGGACATCATATAGATCGAGACATCAGATCCAAAGCAAGGTTATTGTGTTCCAAACTATCAAGACAATAACCTAATTAGAGCTATATTGCTGCAGGCAACATTGCCACCTGAAACAAGGGAGCCAATATATTTGTGCCTGTGTTACTATCAATGCAGCTGTTCTGATTATGGAATCTATACTGAAGTGCAATGGAAGTCAAGATAAAAAAAATGATATATTAGCATGGGAGATATGTAACATCTTCTCGAGCTAATGGTCAATACATAGCAAGACTTCCAAACAGCAAAAGTATCAAAATTAATTAACTGCTAAACCGTTATGAACACTGTAAACAAGAAGCCATAAAGCTATCATGTCATATGGACCTGGCAAGTACCAATTATGTTCAACTTATAGGAACTATGATAAAATAGATCCAAAATACCATTTGCTCCAACATAGTTATAGCTTCCACATTGAAACTGTGCTGCATTCTCAGGTCCATCCGGATTGCTCTCATCCTGTCCCACAGAAAGTTGTACCTCCCAAGGAAGTTGCCATCATATGTCTGATCCAGTAAGCTAAGTAGGTAAATCAATGGTCTTTTGAAGGACAGCCATCGGACGTATAAGACATGCTTCCCTCTCCGCTGTCCTAGTGTACTATTTGACAAAAGAAACAAAAATATATACAAATAATCAATGAAAGAGCAAGAAAGGGTCTATCCACAAATATATTGGAGATGAAACCGCACAAATAAACCTTTTTAACTGCAAGCAAACGTTTTGTTTGATTTCTATCCCCATCCAAACGTTCATACTGATCAAGATCCCATTCCTTTCTCGCTCCCTCTTTCAGATTCTGCAATTGAGTATCAACATCATCCAATCTTCTCAGGAACCAATTACTTATCACAATCAAACTTGAAGGGTTAGAGGTATTTACATGGTTCACTATATACGAACTAGTTATAGGCTTATGCCTATTACGTAAAGATAAGAACAATGCTATCAAAATTGTAGATCTAAAACCGCAAATAACAAACTCTTAGTTGGCAAGAAGCTTACCAGGGCACATATCTGGACGCCAACAATAAGGCTTTGCGTTCCCAAACCCTCCAAGTTTGATACATTATTGTCATTGGTGCGGTCTTCTCCCGAATGATTCACGGGAACATTTTGTCTTTGTTTGGATTGCTCGTATCCACCAACAGGAACATCTTGGTCCCCAACATCTGAGCTATTTTCAATATCTTCGCTTTATTCTTCCTTAAAGCGGGCTAAACGTTTCTCCTTGACTTGTATCTCTCTGCACATCAAGTCGAAATTCACAATCATTGAATTGAAAAGCCAGGATTATCCAGCCGAATATTGTCGTGAAGCTTTACCGTTCAGTAACATCAATGGTTGAAACTAAGGCACTGGTGTTTCTGGTGGGATTAGATTCCAAAGTTGTGTTCTGATAGAACTCGAATACGAGTTCTACCGGTTGATTAGGGATTAGGATCAACTAGGGATTGATCCGGCTAATTGGGAATTGGGAAGAAGAGGTGAAATGGGGATTTGATCAGAAGAAGAGAGGAAGGGGAAGTTGTTGCCGCTCAGCCAAGGAGAAGAGGAGGAAGGGAAGGCTGCTGCCGCAGCTACAAAAGAGAGGGGGAAGAGGAGTTTGGGTCGGCAGAGAGAGAAGAAGGGAGGGGTGAATTGAGAGTTTAGGTTTAGGTTAATTCTTTCTTAGTGGCCTAATCCCACTTACAAGTAATATTTATAATAATTGGACAATTACCTACTACTACCCACATATAATTTATTCCCAATTCCCGAAATGGTCCTAATAATCCGAAATAACGATAATCCGACAACTAAACAGAATACTAAAATTACTAGGTTTCTATCATGTTCTTAAAAAATGGCATCACTCTTTCTGGAATTTGAGTGTCTAGGGTACTGTAAATAGGATCTGATTGCGTATTCAATCCTATTGGAGAGAAAGGTCTGCAAAAGGAAGAACCAAAAAGCACTTGTTAAGATGTAGAAAGGCTGAGAAATACACCCTATACTAGTCAATTATAATAATCTTGAAGCATCAATCTTTCACACTCGATTGAATTGGGTCGCTAGCGAATACTGCCATCTAAAGCCCTCGCAAATGGAATCGTTTACCTGATTCCTGTGCTTAGATAGTTATTCAGAGCACTAATAAGTCATAATCTATGAATGCAGTCAAATTTTTGTTTTGTTAGTTTGATGAATGATGACTTCTATTGGAAGATTTTAACCAATTAAATATACAGAAAACATGCAATGCACAGCTCACAGATAGGCTATAGGAAAATTTAAGGGGAAACCAATAACATCCATCTCTTCACTAAATCAAGACCCTGTAAGAATGTAAGGAGCTGTTGTGAAAAATCTTGCTACTGAAATAAAAAAATTCACAAAGTCTTCGAACTCATGATGAAACTTCCATATAACAAGGATGTCTCTTTGACGAAACAAGGAACCAAAAATCTGTTCATGCATTTGACTACCTTTTAGCTTCCTTTCTCACAGAAGGTGCATTTCCTTGCAAACTTCTGCTGGCAGGAGGCGATCTACTTCGCTTCGGGAGATGGCCATTTGCTAGTTCATTGACTTGACCTGGGGACACTTTTTGATGATTTGATAAGTTTGGAAAAAGTCCTGGCACCGTGGACCTATAAACATACCATGTAGATGGAGCAGAAGCAGGCCAACAAAAACAAATTAAACAAGAAATAATTACAATTGGTGCAAAGTAGAGAAAGATAAGGCAGAATTATATGTTCTGTCCTCAATAGGAAGACAAAAGTCAAGCAGAGAAGTTCACATTTGCGGCAAAGCAAATATCAAATTCTGTGAACCGACTTCATCAGTAGCATCAGGAGATGATCTAGTCCTTTTCTGGTCTTGTAATCCAGTAAAATTGGCTGCCACTCCGCCTCCAAAATTACGAGTAGCAACAAGAGATTTGACAGCATAAGGCGCAGGATTTTTCTGGCCATCACCGTTCAAGATAGATCGGTTTCCATTACCCCATGTAGGAGGAGATTGGACAGGCCTAGGGAAAATATGTAACACAACAGTGGAGTAACTCGTAAGAACTGGCTGCTACTGGAAATGCAGGACAATTGATTCTGGATTCTATCCTGGCTTCGAAGGGCAAGGCTCCGGAGTCGGCTGAAGCAACTTGTTGAAACTAGAATCTGACTGTGGCTAACTTGGTCAAGTCTATTGAGCAGGGTGTCCTAACTGAATGGCAAAGGTCAGGGTCTGTGGAGTTGCCAACTGAGAGTGAGCTTCAGAAAGCTATGATAGGACAAAGCTCTCCTTCTGCAGGGAGAGTTCAAGTACACCTGTAGCAAATAGGTATCAGAGTTTAGCTGTGGATTATTTTGAAGTTGGGAATATTACCAGAATGTGTGAGGAAGCAGTTAGATTTTACCAGAATCTGCTGGCCATTAAGAATCCAGATGTTCAGAGAGTGAGCAGTGACCTAATCTCGCAACTTTTGGTCCACTCTTTCACTCCTGAGCAAGATGATCCTCTTTGTTGTCCAGTTTCTCGAGAAGAAGTGAGAGCGGCTCTATTTTCTATGAATGGAGAAAAATCTCCTGGACCAGATGGCTTCACAGCTGGGGTTTTCCAACATAACTGGGAGATTTTGGGTAAGGACCTCACTTATGCAATCTTGGATTTCTTCATGACAGGGAAGCTTCTTTCAGAGGTAAATTCTACCTACTTGGCTATCATTCCTAAGGTGCAAAATGCTGACTGTATGAAGCAATTCAGGCCAATTTCATGTTGCAATATACTGTATAAGTGTATTGCTAAGGTACTTGCAAATAGATTGAAGGAAGTGCTCCCTGTAGTCATTATTCAGAACCAATATGCTTTTATTAAAGGGAGATTAATTAGTTATAATGTCCTACTAGCCCATGAGATGGTGCGGTTATACAATAGGAAGTCTATCTCCCCTAGATGTGCCCTAAAAGTGGATGTGATGAAGGCATTTGATAGTGTAGACTTGTGTTACTTAAAAACAGTAATGGAAGCTATGAAAATCCCTACTCAGTTCATAAAATGGATTGAAGTTTGCCTACAAAGTACAAAACTAAGTGTTTGCTTTAATGGAGGACTCTGTGGTTACTTTTCTGCTCAGAAGGGGCTGAGGCAAGGAGATCCCCTTTCTCCCTATCTCTTTACAATTGTCATGGAGGTTCTATCTTGTATGTTTAATAGGGCATATGCTGTTAAGTCCCTCCCTCCTCACCCACAAACTCACAGAATAGGACTCTCCCACCTGTGCTTTGTTGATGACCTTCTGGTTTTCACAAAGGGGACTCCAGAGGCTGTGGGGAAAGCAAAGGCTATTATGGATGCCTTCTATATTGTGTCTGGGTTGAGATTTAATCTTTCTAAGAGTGAAGTATTCTGTGGAGGAGTGGAACCTAATGTTCAGGCTCTAATTTCTTCCAGTACTAGTTTTGCCATAGGGCATCTTCCTGTGAGATATCTGGGGATTCCTCTCATTGCTGGAAAACTGAATAATGCAGACTGCCTTGCTTTGGTAGAGAAGATAACTGCAAGAATCAAGAGGCTGGAAGGTGAAAACCTTGTCTTATGCTGGTAAATTGCAGCTCATCTTTGCTGTCATATCCAATATCACTCAGTATTGGATGGGGATCATTCAGCTCCCAGTCAAGGTGCTAAAGTTGATTGAAAAAGCTTGCTCTGACTTCTTATGGAGCTTAGAGGAAGAGGGGAAAAGAGCTAAGGTTTTCTGGCAGGTGGTAGCTAGGCCTAAGAAGGAGGGTGGATTAGGTTTTAAGGACCTTAGGAGCTGGAACATGGCGTACCTGGTTAGGCATCTCTGGGCCATATCCTCGAATTCTTCTTCCCTATGGGCGAATTGGGTAAGACACTACCAGCTTACCTACACCTTCATTTGGGATACACCTACTTCCATACCCTGTTCATGGGCCTGGAGGAAGGTCCTGAAAATAAGGACTAAAGTAGCTCAGCATTTTATAGTACGATCTGTAGGAGTGTATTGGGGTGATTGTGTGATGGACAAATTCTCAGTCAAAAAAGTTTGGGAAACACTTCGTGTTAAGCATGAGAAAGTTCAATGGTATTCTTTGATTTGGAAGTCATTTGGGACCCTAGAGACAAGCTTCTTGTCTGGTTAGTCATTTTGAATAGAATCCCCACTCTAGATAAGGTGCAGGGGTGGAATAACTCAGTGATTAATGTCTGCCATCTATGCTCCTCTGTGGCAGAGTCAAGGGATCACCTCTTCTTTGAGTGTCCCTACTCTCAGCGTGTATTGCAGGCTGTGTTTGCAGGAAGAAACATGGTGGGGGTTAACTGGGAGGGGTCTTTGGCAATCGTCATATCTCTCTTTCGCCTAAATTGCACTACATCTGATCGTGGCAGGCTTCTATGGGTGATGGTGATGGCTGAGCTTTGGAGAGAAAGATGCAGAAGAGTTATGTCTGGTGAGGTGCTGTCGGAAAGCCAGATTCTTAGGAAGCTGCAAGGGTTGCTGCGTCTGCTTAGGAATGGCTTCCCTCCATTGGAGCTTGCTATTTCAGAGGACTATGTAAATAGTATAGTGTAGTTTTGGTAGGCTGGTTTTACTCTTCTTTGGTTTGTGCTGTTGGACTTTTGTCTCTTCTTCTGTAATTGTGTTAATTGGATTCCAGTTAGAGGGATTTATCATAAAAATCCCTCTTCCTTGATGAATAAAGCAGCTTATTCATAAAAAAATAAAAATAAAAAAATAAAAAAACTCGTAAGAACCATTATTTATGTAAGCTTTCCCCAAGCACGAACTTGTACCTAGCTTTACAGTGCAAGGTCTAAACATCATGGCTGGCGTAAAATTGTGCACATAAAGCTAACCTTAAAGGGCCATTATCAACAACAACAAAAATTTAACCTTAACAGGAAGATTATGCAGAATTACATGTTCCATCCTAAACAGAAAGACGAGGGCTACACAGAGAAGCTTACCTTTGTGGGAAACCTAAACCTGAATTTTGTAAACCTACTTCAGCAGTAAAATAAGAAGGTGATCTACTCCTTTTCTGGTCTTGCATTCCAGTGACCTTTTCTGCCACTGCAGTTCCAGGATTACGGGTAGCAACAATAGATTTGACAGCATAATGCAGATGATCTTTCTGACCATCACCGTTCAAGAAAGATTGGTTTCCATTACCCCATCTAGGAGGAGCTTCAACAGGCCTAGGGGGAAAATGTAACACACCAAAGGGGTAAGTGAGTAACTAGTAAGACACTCAACAGAGCTAGAAATATAGAACCATTACTTGAGCTAAGCTTCCACCCTATCACGAATACTAAACACCATGAGTGGCATACAAAGATGTGTACTTACAGTAAACCTAAATGAAAACAAGCGGGAGCCATCTTTCCAAGAAGAAGAATAGATTGCAGAAGGGAGAACAGAAAACACAGAAGTACAGTAACAAGCAAAAGAGATGGTCTATTCTCAAGGATGTCATTAACAGAAGTCCCCAACAAAATTACTAGATGGAAATGCAGTTTGTCTTTTGCCACTAGGAAAACTACCAACACTGCAATCAAAGTCGAACTCACTGCTCAACATAAGAAATACAAACAAGGCACTAGAGTCAAGAGCTTTGACAACCACCTAAACGAAGTCATCTTTAACAGGCAAACCCGCAACATGCAACCCCCTAAAACCCTGATCTAGCTTGGTATGAACAATCTTACATCTTCCAAACAGCAAGACAGTTAACACTAAGAATTGGATAAGAACCAACAAATTGCAGATGTCTGAAACACTTAACAACCAAATCAAAAAATATAAGCACTGTCAACCTTCAAAAACCTACCAGCAAATTTACCTGTCAAAATGGTTTCTCATCTTCGGGCCATTATTGTCAGCCAAAGCTTCCCTTTGCGACCCACTAGCTTCTTATAAACTTCCCAACACCTTTCGTCGACATACCAGCCTCCGTAGATAAACCCAAATCGATATGTGACCTTTGATTTGCTACCCTCCTCATATTTCCACTTTATCATCTCATCATTAGGCACGAATCCTACAGCTACATCGAGGTGGGCTGGGTTTGGAAAGTGGAAGTAACAGTCCTCGCCAGGGCCCTCCTTATCCTTCAGACAATTCATCATCACGAAGACAACACTGCCGTTCACGCATTTAGCAAAAAAAATCCTGCTCGCAGGAGCTGAACCTGAAGTCAAATTGAGCGTTGATTGTGGATTTGAATTCAAAAAACTTGGAATTAGGATCTTTCGGATCGCCTATTAGGGCGTCGTAAGGAAGATTCTCTTCAGCCTTAACGACATTCTCATTAGGATAGCGGGCCTTTAGATACTCCATGCAACGCCGTTCGCCTTCAGTGCCAACATCGCTAATCAACGACTCCAACTCCGACTCCTTCGACTCCGACTCCTTCGAGTGATCAATCATTTTCCGAGACGACTCCGACTTCTTCGACTCCTGCTCAATCATTGTCCGAGATCCAGGCCATGTCTGTCTACTCGCAAACGCACGAGACTTAACGACGACCCCCGGAGTTGCGCGGTGGAGGAAGGTGCTTAATCTGAACATGGCGGCGACTGAATGCTCCCAACTGAATCGCGAATAGGAGGAAGACGCACCGAGGCCCGAGGGTTATATAAGTGATCTCGGGAAATTGCAAATCTGGTCACGGATTAGTAAAACATTTCATGTTGGGACTAAAAAACAATTTATTCCATTTTTAGTCACTACATTTATTAAAGAGTCCAAGTTTGCAGCTTCGCGACACATAGAAGCTTCTCCATTTCAAAATTTCAATACAGTAACAGTACTCTGTATCTTCCCGCTTAAGTGGAAGAGAAACTCTACCACTAACTCATCAAGCATCAGTGATTCCAAATCCACAATGCTGCACCTTAATACATAGGCATCGGATGGTAACTTATTGAGCTGCCAATTGAAAACCCTTCGAAAGACCTTCACCCAATTCACAACAATATGGTAACTTGAGCACTCCAGGAACTCCAGGCGAGTACTTCTCCGTAACATAACATGTGCCTCCTTGGCCGCCAATGGAAACCCCATCATCCCACTCGATTCAGTCAGGTATCTGATCAAGCAGTTCTCGATTTCAGACTAAGCTTCTAGAGCTCATCTCCCATGTTTGTCGTGCCTTCAAATAACCACGATACATCATCAGCAAATCCAGGAAGCTTACAACTCCATACAGCAGAAATCAGAGGTTTGATTTTTTATGCTGAACTCCACCCTATGCTTGGTAGATATGACTCTATCAACAAGCTTTTGCTTTCCTCCAGCAAAACCAACTCAGGGCTAGGCCAACCTGTCGGGTGCGAAAATTTCCTCCACACACCCATCCAAAGTTTCATTGAATACTGAGATACACTTATTTGGTCCAACTTCACAGTCATTCATCTTCCGGAGTGCATCTAGAGACGGATTCAGCCGTGCGAGAGCCAACTCCTGCAGTTTTAAGAACTGAAGATCTGGTTGTTGGGGTGGTTCTCTAGCTAACCATCTTAGTCCTTTCCTCACTCTGCCATCATTGAAAAATCCATTGGCATCTTCTCCAATGAGGAACACAACGGAGAAACTTCTTATTCTAGACTTGTCAATGGTATTCAATCCAAGTTGATGAGCTATGGTGGCCAAAGGTCAGAAACCGTTCTATCCCATTTTCCATAGAAAACCAGTAGAGGAACTGCAGAACTTGGATGTATGGCCCATAGAAGGTTGTGGAGTGTGATTCTCTGAGGATTCATCAGGATAGTTTCTGATACGACGAAAACCACAATAGTTGCACCAGCTCCTGCCTCATCTGGAGTACAAAAACTGGAATCTCTGACGACAGACAAGCAGCACATGTCGCTAGAAACCCACTTTCTCCATATTGAAAGGCCTGGAGATGAAGTTAACAATTCTTCCTCGGTAATGTATCTTTTGATCTGTTGGGGATGAGCTTTGAACACAACCAAGGGCATGCTGTTGCATGCTTGCTGGGACCTGGTTGATCATCTTCTTGTGACTGTGAACATACTACGAGCTTCGAACAGAGACATTTGGCGTCTGGATTTCTCGAGCTGGCTTCATCTGCAATGACTTCTGATGGATTTAATGGAGACCAAGAATGCTCATATATTCTGCATCTTTCCTTCATGACAAAGTCAATGTCGAACTCGAGAATCTTGCTTGGTTGCTGCACTAAACCAAGAGATAAGAGTAGCATGAAGTCATCTAGAGATGGCTGCTTACAAAAAAGGGGGAGGGGGGGTAAGCTGTAACATTCCCCGTCTTGTTTCGGCTACAATAAAAATCACTTAAAAATTGATTTAATGGCTGGAGCAAACACTTGGTTTATCTAACTTCTTACAACTACTATTTATCCTGAATTCCCAAAATATGAAAAGCCGAAAATCACCACTAAAAAAATTATGTTTCCAACAAAACTTTGTCCCTTTTAAATAAGAATCTATCCTTAAAGTAATACGCCAGTTCCCAAAAACCACTCATCCCTTTATAATTAAACCGACTATCTACTACCCCAAAAATTATCTTGTCAATCTTAAATTTCTAAAACCTAACCAGACACCCTTTTTCTTCACTTCTACTACAATACAAGTCCCTTCACAAAACTAAAACACACAATTGAAGAGTTGTGCACGGTGGTAGCTTAATAGACGGTAATTTTGGTCGTTCTGTGGCACAGGGAATCCACTTATTACGTATTAATACCCTTCCTTTAAAGTGAAAGACTTACTTCTTGAGTCCTCCGAATCTGTGGTCCGAGTGATAATGATCTCATTGCAGCATATGCATATGTCTGTCTTTAACGGTGTAATTTCTGATGTCTGGAAACACCCCACTTCCATAACCTGAAACTGAAAGTAAACGAAGTCAAGTGAATTCAGTAGGACAGTCAACAACTCTGCACCAAAAGATGTTGAGAAGTAAAAACCAACCTTATGAACAACTTGAGCTTCTCTCGAGCTACTTCATCTTCGAGATTCTCCATCAACTCGTCATCTTCATATTCTTGATGGACATCAGGGGTTTCTTCACCTTTCAATAAATTGCCCACCACACTCTGATCGATTACAATCTCCCTCGGGATATCGTTTTCACCACTAAGGGCCTCTCTTTCAATGGTACTCCAACCACAGGTTGTGGCTGTGCATGTCCTCAGTTTTAGTGATTGGGAAAGGAGAATCAGTCGTGCTTTCCTCCAGTTCTCCAACTTTAGCAGGCTGAGAGTTCGGAGCACTAAAAGCTGAAAGTACGTTTTCCATGGTACAATATTGCCAGTTGTTGTCACATGATTATTGTTATATGTCTCCATTTGATCAAAACTTCAGATCTACCAATAGTACACTGTTTTTGCAAGCCAAACTTTGGTAATGGCACAACAACATGAGAATCAGGCATTTCATCATTAATTGCACTGATAGAATTCTTCTTATCAACCAAAGCAGGTGTAGCTTTCACGGCAAATGTGTGACTTGGATTCTTCTTGTCAACAAAAGGAACTCGGATTTTTCTTGTTGCTTCAGCAGGCAAAGGTGTGACTAGAGAAGATGGAGAAATATCACTGACGATAGTAGTTGACTTTTTTAGATGAACAAGTCTGGAACACTTTGTTGAGAAGTCCTTATCGCTATTGAGAAATGGTCCTTCCTTCACCATATATGGCTCTTCAAAATCCTTTATCGAGAACCCATAATATGCTAACAAGTTTTCGACATCTTCTTGCTGAGATTGGAATCACCAAAGGCGCTAGTGTAAGACAACATTTTTTTCTTCCAAATGTAGTGACATCAAGAAATAACCAGTGTCTAAGGGTAGGGAAAAACCTCCATAGCAAGCCACTTAGCAACTTGAGAAACAGGGATTCCTTTGTTGGTTTGTAGAGCCAAATATAACGAAGCAAGTGCAAGGGGTTGTAGCTGAAAATAAATAAAGCATGAATAGTTTATTGATTTCATATATACATGACACTATGTTTTCGTATTTGCTTGCGAATTTTGTGCAAAAAATACTAGCTCATACCTTAGCGAAGTGAGCATGCATTATACATGCTTGAAGGTAAGATGCCCTCTTTGCAAGCCTAAAGAAGTCAATGAAGTTGCCTGTTCTGCAAGCTCTGAAGAAGATGATAAAAGTGTAAGAAAGTGGGAAAATGAGTATAAACAAATAATAATTTCATAAAAAAGAAGTAACTACGTACCTTGCAACATCGCGAGCAAAAAGCACTTCAGGGGTTTGCCTTATCTCGGGAGTCATCTTGGCCAGATCTAGCGACAGCTCGGAAGGTTCCACCTGTTGAACAATGATTAACCATCACAACAAAAGAAATGAAAAGAGAGAGGGAAGAAGGCAAGCAGCTGTAAAGAAAGTAAATGAAGGTAACTTACTTTGCATCCACGATGCTTGTCCAGTTTGAGAAGAGCATAATGACCACGGAATTCTTTTTCTGACGGCACAATAATGCCTTTCTTCCTGTGATAATCATACACTTGAAATAGTTCAACAGATGTTCATCTGTTCAATCTTAAGGCATGCATCGAATCCCTCTGAAAATCTCTTCTCCTTAGGTATATTCACACAGCTCATGCATGGCAATTACATGAAGCCTTATCTGAAACTCACATCCAAAAAGCTAAAGGGTTAACCTGAAGAGAATTATGAATACTTTTTTGTGCTTAATTTTGGGAAGAGTTAACAATGACTTGGTTCGTTCCGTCAACATGATATCATCACCAATATAATAACTTACTCAAATGCATGGCACGACAAGGTCAAGCAGACATCCTATAGATCAAAACATCAGGTCCAAAGCAAGGTTATTGTGTTCCAAACTAATACGAAAAGAACCAAATTAGATATATTGCTGCAGCCAACATTGCCAACTGAAACAAGGGAGCCACTATATTTGGCCTATGAAACTATAAATGCAGATATTCTGCTTATGGAATCTAAATTGAAGTGCAATGGAAGTCAAGATATAAAACAATTATATATTAGCATGGGAGATATATAACATCTTTTCAAGCCAATGGTCAACACATAGTTAGACTTCCAAACAACAAAAATATCAAAATATGATGTCATATAAACCTGGTAAGTACTAAATGTATATTCAGCTTATAGGAACTCTAATCAAAGATATCAAGAATACCATTCGCTCCAACATAGTTATAGCTTCCAAATTGAAAATGTGCTCCATTCTCAGGTCCATCAGGATTGCTCTCATCCTGTCTCACAGAAAGTTGTACCTCCCAAGGAAGTTGCCATCATATGGCTGATCCAGTAAGCTAAGAAGGTAATCAATGGTCTTCTAAAGGACAGGCATTGGACGTATAAGATATGCTTTCCTCTCCGCTGTCCTGGTGTACTATACGACAAAAATATAAGAATAATCAATGAAAGAGCAAGAAAGGGTCTGTCCACAAAATAAATTGGAGATGAAACCAGAAACAAATATACCTTTTTAACTTCAAGCAAACAGTTATTTTGATTTCTATCTCATCCAAACGTTCATACTGATCAAGATACCCTTTCCTTTCTCGCTCCCCTCTTTCAGATTCTGCAATTGTTCATGTAGTTGACTTTTTTAGATGGACAAGTCTGAAACGCTTTGTTGGGAAGTCCTTATGACTATTGAGAAATCTCCATCCTTCACCATATATGGCTCTTCGAATTGCTTTATCGAGAACCCATAATATGGAAATAAGTTTTCGACATCTTCTTCCTGCGATTGGAATCACCACGAGGCACTAGTGTAAGACAAGGTTTTTCCCCAATGTAAAGACATCAAGAAATAAGCAGTGTCCAATGGGTAGGGCGAAACCTCTATAGCAATCCACTTGGCAACTTCAAAAACACGGATTCCTTGGTTGGTTTGTAGACCCAAGTATAAGGAAGCAAGTGCATGGGTTCGTAGCTGAAAATAAATAAAGCATGAATATTTATTGATTTCATACAATAGTTACAGTATACTCTGGCTTTGTATTTGCTCGAGAACTTTGTGTGCAAGATTATACTAGCTCATACCTTAGCAAAGTGAGCATGCATTAAACATGCTTGAAGATAAGTTGCCTTCTTAGCAAGCCTAAAGAAGACAATGAAGTTGCCTGTTCTGCAAGCTCTGAAAAAAGGGGAAAATTGTAAGGACGTGAAAAAGAGTATAACCTAATGATAATTTCATTAAAAAGAAGTAACTACCTACCTTGCAACATTGCGAGCAAAAAGCACTTCAGGGTTTTGCCTTATATCGGGAGTCATCTTTGCCAGATCTAGCGACAGCTCTAAAGGTTCCACCTGTTGAACATTGATTAACCAATTAAACAGAAGAAGGAGAAGAGAAAGGGAAGAAGGTGGCCAGCTGTAAGGAAAGTAAATGAAGGTAACTTACTTTGTATCCAGGATGCTTGTCCAGTTTGAGAAGAGCATAATACCCACGGAATTCTTTTACTGACTGCACAATAACGCCTTTCTTCCTATGATCATCATACATTTGAAATAGTTCAACAGATGTTTTGTTGATATGTTCAATATTAAGGTGTGCATCGAATCCCTCTGAAAAGCCTTCTCCTTTTTTATATTCACACAGCTCATGCATAGTGATAGACCGTTATTTACACATGTTTTTACCCTCGTTCTTACACCATTTGAGGTGTTGATTCTTGTGTTTTAGGCCGATTTCACGCTAGGTTGTGCTTTTTTGTGATATTTCAGGTCCTAGTACGTGAATGGAGGCTTGGGAGCGAGTCTGGGGTTGATTTGACGAAGATCGGACGAATGGCGAGGTTTCAAGGAAGCTGCACGGGCAGACCATGGCATCGCACGGCCGTGCGGGATTATGCGTTATCTGAAATTCACATACAAAAGCAAAAGGGTTAACCTGGAGAGAAATCGAAATACTTTATTATGTTTAATCATGGGAAGAATTAACAATTACTTGGTTTATTCTGTTAACATGATATCATAACCGATATAATAACCTACTCAAATTTCATGGCATGATAAGGTCAAGTGGACATCATATAGATCGAGACATCAGATCCAAAGCAAGGTTATTGTGTTCCAAACTATCAAGACAATAACCTAATTAGAGATATATTGCTGCAGGAAACATTGCCACCTGAAACAAGGGAGCCAATATATTTGTGCCTGTGTTACTATCAATGCAGCTGTTCTGATTATGGAATCTATACTGAAGTGCAATGGAAGTCAAGATAAAAAAAATGATATATTAGCATGGGAGATATGTAACATCTTCTCAAGCTAATGGTCAATACATAGCAAGACTTCCAAACAACAAAAGTATCAAAATTAATTAACTGCTAAACCGTTATGAACACTGTAAACAAGAAGCCATAAAGCTATCATGTCATATGGACCTGGCAAGTACCAATTATGTTCAACTTATAGGAACTATGATAAAATAGATCCAAAATACCATTTGCTCCAACATAGTTATAGCTTCCACATTGAAACTGTGCTGCATTCTCAGGTCCATCCGGATTGCTCTCATCCTGTCCCACAGAAAGTTGTACCTCCCAAGGAAGTTGCCATCATATGGCTGATCTAGTAAGCTAAGTAGGTAATCAATGGTCTTTTGAAGGACAGCCATCGGACGTATAAGATATGCTTCCCTCTCCGCTGTCCTAGTGTACTATTTGACAAAAGAAACAAAAATATATACAAATAATCAGTGAAAGAGCAAGAAAGGGTCTATCCACAAATATATTGGAGATGAAAACAGCACAAATAAACCTTTTTAACTGCAAGCAAACGTTTTGTTTGATTTCTATCCCCATCCAAACGTTCATACTGATCAAGATCCCATTACTTTCTCGCTCCCTCTTTCAGATTCTGCAATTGAGTATCAACATCATCCAATCTTCTCAGGAACCAATTACTTATCACAATCAAACTTGAAGGGTTAGAGGTATTTACATGGTTCACTATATACCAACTAGTTATAGGCTTATGCCTATTACGTAAAGATCAGAACAATGCTATCAAAATTGTAGATCTAAAACCGCAAATAACAAACTCTTAGTTGGCAAGAAGCTTACCAGGGCACATATCTGGACACCAACAATAAGGCTTTGTGTTCCCAAACCCTCCAAGTTTGATACATTATTGTCATTGGTGCGGCATTCTCCCGAATGATTCACGGGAACAGTTTGTCTTTGTTTGGATTGCTCGTATCCACCAACAGGAACATCTTGGTCCCCAACATCTGAGCTATTTTCAATATCTTTACTTTATTCTTCCTTAAAGCGGGCTAAACGTTTCGCCTTGACTTGTATCTCTCTGCACATCAAGTCGAAATTCACAATCATTGAATCGAAAAGCCAGGATTATCCAGCCGAATATTGTCGTGAAGCTTTACCGTTCAGTAACATCAATGGTTGAAACTAAGGCACTGGTGTTTCTGGTGGGATTAGATTCCAAAGTTGTGTTCTGATAGAACTCGAATACGAGTTCTACCGGTTGATTAGGGATTAGGATCAACTAGGGATTGATCCGGCTAATTGGGAATTGGGAAGAAGAGGTGAAATGGGGATTTGATCAGAAGAAGAGAGGAAGGGGAAGTTGCTGCCGCTCAGCCAAGGAGAAGAGGAGGAAGGGAAGGCTGCTGCCGCAGCTACAAAAGAGAGGGGGAAGAGGAGTTTGGGTCGCCAGAGAGAGAAGAAGGGAGGGGTGAATTGAGAGTTTAGGTTTAGGTTAATTCTTCCTTGGTGGTCTAATCCCACTTACAAGTAATATTTATAATAATTGGACAATTACCTACTACTACCCACATATAATTTATTCCCAATTCCCGAAGTGGTCCCAATAATCCGAAATAACGATAATCCGACAACTAAACAGAATACTAAAATTACTAGGTTTCTATCATGTTCTTAAAAAATGGCATCACTCTTTCTGGAATTTGAGTGTCTAGGGTACTGTAAATAGGATCTGATTGAGTATTCAATCCTATTGGAGAGAAAGGTCTGCAAAAGGAAGAACCAAAAAGCACTTGTTAAGATGTAGAAAGGTTGAGAAATACACCCTATACTAGTCAATTATAATAATCTTGACGCATCAATCTTTCACACTCGATTGAAGTGGGTCGCTAGCGAATACTGCCATCTAAAGCCCTCGCAAAGGGAATCGTTTACCTGATTCCTGTGCTTAGATAGTTATTCAGAGCACTAATAAGTCATAAACTATGAATGCAGTCAAATTTTTGTTTTGTTTGTTTGATGAATGATGACTTCTATTGGAAGATTTTAACCAATTAAATATACAGAAAACATGCAATGCACAACTCACAGATATGCTATAGGAAAATTTAAGGGGAAACCAATAACATCCATCTCTTCACTAAATCAAGACCCTGTAAGGATGTAAGGAGCTGTTGTGAAAAATCTTGCTACTGAAATAAAAAAATTCACAAAGTCTTCGAACTCATGATGAAACTTCCATATAACAAGGATGTCTCTTTGACGAAACAAGGAACCAAAAATCTGTTCATGCATTTGACTACCTTTTAGCTTCCTTTCTCACAGAAGGTGCATTTCCTTGCAAACTTCCGCTGGCAGGAGGGGATCTACTTCGCTTCGGGAGATGGCCATTTGCTAGTTCATTGACTTGACATGGGGACACTTTTTGATGATTTGATAAGTTTGGAAAAAGTCCTGGCACCGTGGACCTATAAACATACCATGCAGATGGAGCAGAAGCAGGCCAACAAAAACAAATTAAACAAGAAATAATTACAAGCGCAAAGTAGAGAAAGATAAGGCAGAATTATATGTTCTGTCCTCAATAGGAAGACAAAAAGTCAAGCAGAGAAGTTCACATTTGCGGCAAAGCTAATATCAAATTCTGTGAACCGACTTCATTAGTAGCATCAGGAGATGACCTAGTCCTTTTCTGGTCTTGTAATCCAGTAAAATTGGCTGCCACTACGCCTCCAGAATTACGAGTAACAACAAGAGATTTGACAGCATAAGGCGCAGGATCTTTCTGGCCATCACCGTTCAAGATAGATCGGTTTCCATTACCCCATGTAGGAGGAGATTGGACAGGCCTAGGGAAAATATGTAACACAACAGTGGAGTAACTCGTAAGAACTGGCTGCTGCTGGAAATGCAGGACAATTGATTCTGGATTCTATCCTGGCTTCGAAGGGCAAGGCTCAGGAGTCGGCTGAAGCAACTTGTCGAAACTTGAATCTGACTGTGGCTAACTTGGTCAAGTCTATTGAGCAGGGTGTCCTAACTGAATGGCAAAGGTCAGGGTCTGTGGAGTTGCCAACTGAGAGTGAGCTTCAGACAGCTATGATAGGACAAAGCTCTCCTTCTGCAGGGAGAGTTCTATCACACCTGTAGCAAATAGGTATCAGAGTTTAGCTGTGGATTATTTTGAAGTTGGGAATATTACCAGAATGTGTGAGGAAGCAGTTAGATTTTACCAGAATCTGTTGGCAATTAAGAATCCAGATGTTCAGAGAGTGAGCAGTGACCTAATCTCGCAACTTTTGGTCCACTCTCTCACTCCTGAGCAAGCTGATCCTCTTTGTTGTCCAGTTTCTCAAGAAGAAGTGAGAGCGGCTCTATTTTCTATGAATGGAGAAAAATCTCCTGGACCAGATGGCTTCACAGCTGGGGTTTTCCAACATAACTGGGAGATTTTGGGTAAGGACCTCACTTATGCAATCTTGGATTTCGTCATGACAGGGAAGCTTCTTTCAGAGGTAAATTCTACCTACTTGACTATCATTCCTAAGGTGCAAAATGCTGACTGTATGAAGCAATTCAGGCCAATTTCATGTTGCAATATACTGTATAAGTGTATTGCTAAGGTACTTGCAAATAGATTGAAGGAAGTGCTCCCTGTAGTCATTAGTCAGAACCAATATTCTTTTATTAAGGGGAGATTAATTAGTGATAATGTCCTACTGGCCCATGAGATGGTGCGGTTATACAATAGGAAGTCTATCTCCCCTAGATGTGCCCTAAAAGTGGATGTGATGAAGGCATTTGATAGTGTAGACTTGTGTTACTTAAAAACAGTAATGGAAGCTATGAAAATCCCTACTCAGTTCATAAAATGGATTGAAGTTTGCCTACAAAGTACAAAACTAAGTGTTTGCTTTAATGGAGGACTCTGTGGTTACTTTTCTGCTCAGAAGGGGCTGAGGCAAGGAGATCCCCTTTCTCCCTATCTCTTTACAATTGCCATGGAGGTTTTGTCTTGCATGTTTAATAGGGCATATGCTGTTAAGTCCCTCCCTCCTCACCCACAAACTCACAGAATAGGACTCTCCCACCTGTGCTTTGCTGATGACCTTCTGGTTTTCACAAAGGAGACTCCAGAGGCTGTGGGGAAAGCAAAGGCTATTATGATTGCCTTCTATATTGTGTCTGGGTTGAGATGTAATCTTGCTAAGAGTGAAGTATTCTGTGGAGGAGTGGAACCTAGTGTTCAGGCTCTAATTTCTTCCAGTACTGGTTTTGCCATAGGGCATCTTCCTGTGAGATATCTGGGGATTCCTCTCATTGCTGGAAAACTGAATAATGCAGACTGCCTTGCTTTGGTAGAGAAGATAACTGCAAGAATCAAGAGGCTGGAAGGTGAAAACCTTGTCTTATGCTGGTAAATTGCAGCTCATCTCTGCTGTCATTTCCAGTATCACTTAGTATTGGATGGGGATCATTCAGCTCCCAGTCAAGGTGCTAAAGTTGATTGAAAAAGCTTGCTCTGACTTCTTATGGAGCTCAGAGGAAGAGGGGAAAAGAGCTAAGGTTTTCTGGCAGGTGGTAGCTAGGCCTAAGAAGGAGGGTGGATTAGGTTTTAAGGACCTTAGGAGCTGGAACATGGCGTACCTGGTTAAGAATCTCTGGGCCATATCCTCGAATTCTTCTTCCCTATGGGCGAATTGGGTAAGACACTACCAGCTTACCTACACCTCCATTTGGGATACACCTACTTCCATACCCTGTTCATGGGCCTGGAGGAAGGTTCTGAAAATAAGGACTAAAGTAGCTCAGCATTTTATAGTACGATCAGCAGGAGTGTATTGGGGTGATTGTGTGATGGTCAAATTCTCAGTAAAAAATGTTTGGAAAACACTTCGTGTTAACCATGAGAAAGTTCAATTGTATTCTTTGATTTGGAAGTCATTTGGGACCCTAGAGACAAGCTTCTTGTCTGGTTAGTCATTTTGAATAGAATCTCCACTCTAGATAAGGTGCAGAGGTGGAATAACTTAGTGATTAATGTCTGCCCTCTATGCTCCTCTGTGGCAAAGTCAAGGGATCACCTCTTCTTTGAGTGTCCCTACTCTCAGCGTGTATTGCAGGCTGTGTTTGCAGGAAGAAACATGGTGGGGGTTAACTGGGAGGGGTCTTTGGCAATCGTCATATCTCTCTTTCGCCTAAATTGCACTACATCTGATCGTGGCAGGCTTCTATGGGTGATGGTGATGGCTGAGCTTTGGAGAGAAAGATGCAGAAGAGTTATGTCTGGTGAGGTGCTGTCGGAAAGCCAGATTCTTAGGAAGCTGCAAGGGTTGCTGCGTCTGCTTAGGAATGGCTTCCCTCCAGTGGAGCTTGCTATTTCAGAGGATTATATAAATGGTATAGTGTAGTTTTGGTAGGCTGGTTTTACTCTTCTTTGGTTTGTGCTGTTGGACTTTTGTCTCTTCTTCTGTAATTGTGTTAATTGGATTCCAGTTAGAGGGATTTATCATAAAAATCCCTCTTCCTTGATGAATAAAGCAGCTTATTCATAAAAAAATAAAAATAAAAAATAAAAAAAATAAAAAAACTCGTAAGAACCATTATTTATGTAAGCTTTCCCCAAGCACGAACTTGTACCTAGCTTTACAGTGCAAGGTCTAAACATCATGGCTGGCGTAAAATTGTGCACATAAAGCTAACCTTAAAGGGCCATTATCAACAACAACAAAAAACTAACCTTAACAGGAAGATTATGCAGAATTACATGTTCCATCCTAAACAGAAAGACGAGGGCTACACAGAGAAGCTTACCTTTGTGGGAAACCTAAACCTGAATTTTGTAAACCAACTTCAGCAGTAAAATAAGAAGGTGATCTACTCCTTTTCTGGTCTTGCATTCCAGTGACCTTTTCTGCCACTGCAGTTCCAGGATTACGGGTAGCAACAATAGATTTGACAGCATAATGCAGATGATCTTTCTGACCATCACCGTTCAAGAAAGATTGGTTTCCATTACCCCATCTAGGAGGAGTTTCAACAGGCCTAGGGGGAAAATGTAACACACCAAAGGGGTAAGTGAGTAACTAGTAAGACACTCAACAGAGCTAGAAATATAGAACCATTACTTGAGCTAAGCTTCCACCCTATCACGAATACTAAACACCATGAGTGGCATACAAAGATGTGTACTTACAGTAAACCTAAATGAAAACAAGCGGGAGCCATCTTTCCAAGAGAAAAGGTACGGTCGAGCATAAACGAGAGTACACCACTCACATTCAAGGCCTAGTTGTTATGGAAAGATAGCTTGCAGGAGACTGTGAGATGTCAAATCTCGATGAGGAAGAATGTGGTCTTTGTACTTCAGACATACTATCATTGAAACAAAAGCAAAACATAAGTTGGGACTTCGATAGACCATCCTGGTTTCGAATCACAATCAATCATGCCCAGATATGTGTTTGTACTTTGGCATTCTAGCTGATGGATGACGACTTCTCACGAAGCCAGGAGTTCCATAACCCAATGACGGGAACTGCACGCTGTCCATTGGTGGAGGACCCCTGAGATGGTAACCAATCACCATGAGCACAGTTTGATCCATGGGAGCGCAAATGGATTTATAATTAACCTCCATTTGATCCACAAAAACATTAATTTATTGCTCTAACCAATGATGACAAGCCAGGTAACTTCTCATGTGAGCTGGCGGAAGCATAAGCTAAAACTCAAAATCTGAACCTGTTCTTGAAACTAGACCAACATTCAAACAATGCCACTTCCAAATTGAAGTCTGAAACTGCTGATCCCCCAATAAGTTAAGCAAGTATTCAATAGTGCCTTTAGAGAACCCTAAACCCAAAGAGAACTGTATCCTAAGGGTTTCATTTACATTAAAGTAATAAAAAAAATTCTTCTAGAACTACAAGAAAAGGGAATAACATACCATGGAGATCGAGGACGGCCAGGTTGAGGTATTGGCGGTGCCTGAGATGATGCCGGAGTACCGAACGGTAACAGTTTGGTACCTTGGCTTTGGGGCCCCGCATCCTTCCCAAACGCGAACGCCATCCTTCTTCTTCACCGTAACCTTCTCCTGTTCCCTTTTCAGCTCTTATTTCATATATATTAATGGTGGCGTCCAGAAACCAAGAAGAGAGGGGGGAATTAGGTTACCTAATTCGTTGGTCTAAGGGTGCCGCTCCCGCGCAAGAAACGCGCTCTTCCAACAAAACGTATAAAAATCGCGACTTTTTTTATCCAGAGCGCGGATTATTATGGGACAGAGTGTGGATCCTGAAATTCAGAATGCTGAGCTGGAAACTGAACAATCGCGAGCTATAAATTGTGAAAGAAATCGTTAATTTGCACAAGTTAATTTCTTCCCAAAATCTGGCTTCAAAAATCAAGGAAATCAAATAACGATGGGTCAGCGACATATGCAGAGGTAGTTCTCTGACTGTGATAAAACCAGTCTAGCTCATATGAGACTGCAAGAAGAGCTCGAGGAAAGAGCAATACGTTCTCCCTAAACAATTGATATACCTCAACTTCTACAGTGAAGAAGAACAGAAGCAGAATTTGATGGGGGAAAAATCGGAAATAAGATACATTATGGAGTTGCAGAGTTTAGAACAGAGGATAGAGAGAAAGGCGGAGTTAACGAGGAAGATGGAGAGTTGGCTTGTTTTAGTTGGCTTTGTGGTTTTCTTTTCCTTTGTGCCACGTGTTTTATCAAATTGCTTTTAGTTTCGAGTTATCCGCTCGATTTCTATTTTAAGACTTTGGAATTGGGTAAATTTCTTTCAAATAAACTAATAACTATGCCGTTTAATATACTTGTATATCCAAAACTTTCACGGTTCTGTCAATAATATCCAAATTTTCCGAAATACCACTTATATCCATGTTTTAAAGTTGTTCTTTGCCAAATCTATCCATTTCCCAAAATATTTTTGGTTAAATACACTTGTATATCCAAAAACACCGTTAAAGAATGTGAAGGAATTGGATATAAGTGATATTTCGGGAAATTTGGATATTATTGGCACAATCGTGAAAGTTTTTGATATACAAGTGTATTTAACCATTATTTAATTATATATTTGCATTATTTATATGTAACTCATATTAAATTAACTAAATCGCTAAATGTCGCCCTAAGAATTGCTAAACGTTGCCCTAACTTAAATGTCAAATTACCTATATACCCTTAATGAAAATTGAAAAATTGCAACAACCAAACAACCCTTTCACCCTCCTTCCCAGCGGGAGATCTCTTCCCTCTTCCCTCTTCCCTTCCATCCTTTCAGCGTCGGCAACCTCCCCACAACTGCCGGCAAACCCCTCCCCCTCTGCAACTCCTTCCCGCTGACAAACCCCGCCGCTCGCTCCCATCGTCGCCGCTCGTCGTTGCCGCCGTCTCGCTCCCGTCGCCGGCCTCCTGCTCTCCCAACTGATCACTCGTCCCGCGCGCTGTTCCCGTCTCTCGCGACAGTCTCGCCGCCGTCCTTCCACGCGTCGGGTCGCAGCCCGCGCCAGCCTCGCCGGAGAAGAAGGTACTAACGCAGTCAAACCGCGGTTTGACCAACGGCTGACCGCGATTGACAGTCGGTCTAACGCGCGTTGACCGCGGTCATACCACTTTTTTTTAATATTCTGTGTTTTTATTATTCGATAAATGTTAATAATAATAAAAAATGATTAAAAAAATACTTAATAAAAATAATTTAGTTATATATTTTGTCAATAATGATATAAAAATTTTAAAAACGTATTCGATAAATGTTAGTTATTGATAACAAATTTAAAGGGCATTATAAAAAATTAAAATGTATTTTTATCATTTTAATAATCAAAATTTCAAAGTAATTCGTTTATCTACTTAATTATTAATAATTTGACCTTGATTAATTATTTGCTTTTATGTAAATAATGATTACATAAAACGTAACATAAATGTTCAAACTATTAGTTTTATGATTTTAATTATGAAAATCTTAAATTAATTACTTTATGTAATCCATTATTAATAATTCAAACTTTTTTTTGAAGATGTCTGGACATGGAATGGGTAAATCGGATATGATTAAGGCGAGAAATAAGGAGAGAATGGAAGGTCGTTGGTGTAGACTTACGGCGACTGGTAGGAAGGAAATTGAAGAAAAAAATCCACCTAAGGTTAGAAGGAAGAAGAAGAAGGCGGATGTAGTGCGTCCTGACAGCCACCCTACTATGGGGTAGTTGTCTCTTAGTCGAGGTACTATCAGTACTCCTACACCGGAGAGCGCACCGGCATGGCAGGCTAATTGGAGTGATTCCATTGACGAGGATGACGATGATGACGGTGATGCTGAGGTTGGGAATGCCCCATATGCTGGTGATGCTGAGGTTGGGGATGCCCCACCTCAAGCTGATTTAGGCGTGGGGAAGACGGCGCGGGTCGGGATATCTTCTACTGCCTCCTCACACTTTCGTGGGCCCGATGGACGCTATGCATCCAGACCTAGTAGCGAGGAAGGCGGAGATGGAAATATGAAGAGGAAGACCACGAGGAAAGATATGTCGTGGTTTCTTACATCCGAGTCTCAGATGTGTTCAGGTGGACCAGTGATTCCTGATGTGATCCCTAGCTTTGGAGGTCACATTGGCTTTGTACTGTGGACTTCTCCTGAGCATGACCGTGGAGTGTTGGACGGCTTCCATAGGCCGAAAGCTGGAGAGACTTTGAGGCGATATAAGTGGAGTGCAGAGGGTTTCAAGGAGATGGTTGAGGCCACAGGATTGTCTCACTTGACAGGGTGCATGATGCAGCATTTAGACATGGATCTACTGTCGGCTGATGGAGAGCTGATGGGAGATGAGGCGTCGCCGGATATTCTTAAGTCAGACATGGGTGGTCTAGTTCAACTTTCGGTGGATGCTCATGTTGGTGGTAAGTGGAAGTCTAAGTGGTACGATAATGGTGCTATGCATGCAGAGGGATTGTTGGTGCGTGGAGGAGAGCTGAAGATTAAGGAGATGGAGGTGCAGTGTTACCTATTTGTGTTACTGGGATCCACGCTTTTTGTGGATAAGAGTCGTGATCGCCTTCGTCCTGCGATCAACTTGTTTCTGAAGGATCATCGACGATTGACTGATTACGCTTGGGGAGCTGGTGCACTAGCCTATCTCTACAGACAGTTAGGAGTGGCCACACGAGCGGGTAGTAAGGGTCTTTGTGGTTGTTGACCCTACTTCAGGCTTGGATATATGAGTACTTTCCTCTATTCCGTCCAAGCCAGCTGCCACAGTCTCCGGATGCACCTCGTGCTTCCTCGTGGATTTCTCCCCGTTTGCCAGGTGGGGATGATGCTAGACAGAGGTTAGCACGTTATCGACATTTGTTGGATGAGCTTTCAGCTGATGATGTGACCTGGACTCCGTACGGACGAGATGGCCACACAGATATACCTCGCTCCTTGTTTACTGGGATCATTCGCTTTTCTGACATTGCTGAGGGATACGATCCTGCATGTTGTCTGCGCCAGTTTGGATACCGACAGATTATCCCCCGTGCTATGATGGTACCACATGACCAGTACCGTTCGGCTTCCGGCAGCAGTTACACAGTCTTTTGAGATCCGTTTGTGAATCAGTTGTGGGATAACGTGGCAGCCCATCGTCTAGATTTGAATTTTGCTTCTAGGTCGTGTGAGCACCCATCGGAGATCGTGGAGGAGTACGTTGACTGGTTTCTGACGAGATCGCACCCACGGATCAGCCACCCCAGCTCTGATGGGGTGCCTCGGCCTCGACCACTACTAATTCATCAGGTTAGTTATGACTTTTTTTTGCTTTTCCAAATATAAAGGACATTTGTTATTTATTCTAACATTGTTTTCTATTTACAGATGAGAGAGCAGATTGTGGATCGTTTAGGTCCCGTGTTGCTGATGAGGGACCGGAGTAAGTTTGAGGAGGACGGTGGTAAGTTCTATGATATGATAGCTGGGGTTCACGAGTTGTACGACCAGTTGGTAGGGTAGCCACCTCAGTAGACGATTGTGTTTTTTATTTGTCATCGTTTGTAGTTGAACTGAGACGATTATGTTTTTTACTTTAGTTACATTCAATGCATTGCTAAAATAGTTAATCAACAAGGTAGATTACTAAATGTTTCAATAATAGAGAGTTATACATTTCGTAAATATACTTCCAATCGTCATCCTCGTGGGTTCAAACTATCATAAAGCGCATGCTCATGTAAGAAGAATTGATCCCACCCATTGGCACTAGGGTCATGAAAAATAGGCCAAATGCCATTAATTGGAGGCATGGGCACTTGACCATGTCGAAAGTCAAGTCGCACCCAATGATCCCCCGTAAAATGTAGTGATAAGATCACACGTGGTCTTGTTACTCCTGGTGGGGCCGTCACAGGTAGCACGGTATAACGACCGCCTTGACTGTATACAACGATAACCCATGAATGCAAGGTGGCGAAGACGAAGAGTTCCACATTATCCATCCATTTGGGAGGTCCACAACCACTTGTTGATGCCCACCTGCAACGTCGAATGTCATTTTCTATTCCATTTGCTATTCCATCATAGTACTCTCTATAAAGCTCAGGACGGGATTCAAGCTCCTCTACAACAGTGCGTCTCATTTGTGGCCAATTCCTTTGGTCCCCAGTAACTGCTTGTGATATAGCTCGAAATCCACAGTGTCCATCTGGAATAGGGTTGTGCTAACCACGAACTAGTCGTTGCACGTAGGATTCCAAACAATGTAGCCATGGGTAATTCTTCCAACTAGTATTGGGAATCCGAGCAACCCTCTACGGGGCACCATCTAGCCAAAGAGCATAACACAATAAATTAATACAAAGAGTTATACAATATGTTTACCTAAAATTAGGAATATAATTTCTAACCTGTATCATTATGGATCACCGGCTCCGTCCCATTCTCGAAGTTGGTTTGTGCATTCCCATTCGGGGCACCATCTAGATGAAGAACATAACAGAATAAATTAATACAAAGAGTTATACTATATGTTTACCCGAAATTAGGAATATAATTTCTAACCTGTATCATTATGGATCGGCTCCGTCCCATTCTCGAAGTTGGTTTGTGCATTCACATTCGGGGCACCACCTATCTCATTAAAAAAAAATAGATTAGTTGTACACCATATTGAGGACAATTGAACACAACTAATAGAAAAAGTTAATCTACCTGTATTTCCATCATTGTCCGGAGTTGCAGTCGGAAGTCTTGAACTTTTCCTCCCTCGTCTCCTCTCCACATGCTCGAAGTGAGATAGGTTTTGAGTGGTGGACGTCCTTGGGCGACCGGGGCGGGGCTGTCCCCCATGCGGTTCATCCATGCCATCGTTTTCAGAATGAGCATGTTGATCAATTGCGAGATTTGAGAGAAAATTTTGATCATGTGTAGCATGGAAAATTGAAGAACAATAGAGTATCAGCTTGCTCTGCGCAGTGTCGAACTTAGGTAATCAGAGCGTGGAGCGGATGCGAGAGAGTGTCAATTTTCAAAGAGTTCAATACCGAAAGCGTGAATAGAGCATCAATCTTATATTGTTTTAATTAATAAATTATTATAAGTTTCAATCTAGTTAATGAAATATGATAAATATTTTACAACTTACTCATACAAATTAAAGTCTACTTCTTTGTGAATATTCGAATAAAAATATAACTTGAACTATTAGACAGCAATATAAATTTAAGGGTGTGCCTACGGTGACATGCATGTCACGGTGACTTGCACTTTCCGGTCGACCTCAGTTAGGATTAGGTCGACCTCATATAGAATTCGGTCGACCTCATATAGGATCCGGTCGACCTCATTTAGGATTGGGTCGACCTCATATAGGATCCGGTCGACCTAATATGTTGTTTCAGTGTAAAAACAGTTCATGGTGCCTACTTTGGATATTCATATCATACAATTGGCTAGATGGAAATTGAAGACTAATGACTTGTTTTGAAGTTGGAGTGTCCCTCTACATATTGAAGTGATTGAGAGCTCGATAGGAAGTCCAGAAGACCATTTTTGAACCTCATCAAAAGGCTATGCCAAAACTGGGAAACTGCCTAGAAATGGCTAAGTCTGGAAACGTGTTTGTGAAGCCTATTTTTTAGCTCAATTCGAGAAGCATGAATGCGAGTCGAGTCCAGGAGCCTCTACCACGTTAAATTAGGTATGTTTTTATACAAATTCAAGGAATTGGATGAAATATTGGATATCTTTAAGGCTTCAAACAAAAGGGTCGAAGTTGCTACGAAGGTTGTTTTTCTGGCCCTTTTGTTTGATGATCTGGCTATAGCCCCATTCCGGGTCTATCTGTGGGATGTGCAAGAAGAATGCTATACCCAACAGTTCGGGCGGAAAGTGGCGAATACCACTCTTGGATGTGTCTTGGAAACTGGAGTTTTCACCTGCCCAGAAACGAGACAATGCTTCATCAAAACGAAGGTCCTTATTGATTTTTCCCAGCCTCTGCGGTCTCAGACCATGGCAATGAACGAGGAGACTGGTTGTTTCTGGATCAGCCTCAAGTATGAATACCTACAAAGCTTTTGCTTCAATTGTGGGCGGGTCGGCAATTTTTTTCGAGATTGTGCCTTTGAACCCCCTACAAGAAAGGAATAATTCGGTCCTCACATGTCAACCACAAATCTGGGTACGAAACTCTATGATGATGTTGAGGATAACCTTCCTTATAATGGTATGTCGAAGTCAGTACGGGTGAATAGAGAGGTATATGGAAGCAAAAAACCGGCGATTCCAAATGATCGTCGTGCGGCTCACGTGGATGAGTCAGGCTGTTCCAATGGCGGCAAGGAGGAGATGCAAGACAAAATACCTGGTCAGGTCACTACAATACCCGACTAGGTATAAGTGGATTGGGACCGAGTTTTGGTGATTCAGAGGCCAGGGAAGCAAAAGGGTCTCGATCGAGATGCTGAAATACCCGATCGGGTATTTTAACCTAGGGTCGGGTATTTCCCCTTTGGCCTGCGCGCAGCATTTCAAAATACCTTGCCGGTCCTCTAAATACCTGACAGGGTATTTGGGCCGGGTTTCGGGATCTACTGCTGTTTCAAGCAAAGTTTGGGCTCTTTGGAAAGGATCTGAGTTTTAGAGATAGAAAGCGAAAACCTAGAGAGAGAAAACGACGAACAAAGCCTCCAAGTGACCTAGATCGAGATTCAACATTATAGGAGCTCGATTGAAGCTTGGAGAAGTGCCGATTGATTACCAGAAGCCGATTTTCATCCTCCGCAGAATGATTTCTGCATCTGAGGCTGATTTCTCTTCTCTCTCTATGAAGTAAACTCTCTCTCAATTGGGTATGAAGAACCTTAGACATGTATGTTAGGTTTGGTTGTATGAACCCAAGTACATGTTCTTTTGACATCGATTATATTCAATTGAGTCATGATTTTCTGAATTGCATGAATCCTGATCAAATTCCTGTAGTTCCTGCTTTGACCTAGAAAGAGAATATCTGCCTAGGTTGATAGAGCACCCTTAATTGAAGGTGGTGAATTGATTACTTTAGTCAAGGAGTCAATTCACTGCTCTGTACTGGATTTACTCCAGTAGAGGAGGTTTTGCACGTTAGGGCCTCAATTTGTTTACTCCAGTGGAGGTTAGTCGGTCGCTGGGTATTCAGTTTGAGAGGGTCTGGAGACCTTTAGTCTAGACTTCAGACTAAATAAGAACCTTCCGCGGTATAACTGTCATTGAATCTGGACTTGGAGAATTATAACCTGACTTAACTGCAATCTAGGGCGAACCATATCTGGGTAACCTCTCTCATACTTGAACCACAGCCTTTACTGCTTTTTGTTTGTTTGGCTTAGTTAATACTTCACTATAGTTAAACCGCTAAATAATAAGAACTTCACGGAGTAGTCATCACATCTAGGACCCGGGTTGACAATTAAAGCTAAACCCGCTATACTACGCATTTGTAGGTGGTTACATTAGAACACTTTCTAGTGATATGGTATAGGCGAGTCAAGTTTTTGGCGCCGTTGTCGGGACGGCTAGGTTGTTGAAGAAATGTGATTTGTTACTTTAGCATTTCTTTTCCGCATAGATTGTTTTTCTTTTTCCAACTTTTTGCCTTCACAGGTTTGCTTGCTTGGCTGTGTGTAGGTAGTGCATGACCTGTAGCCAGTCAGGAGCATTACTACCGTTACATCCGGAGCTAGAACACACTTTTCGCCAGCTTAAGTGAGTGCAGTGAGCAAGACTGGCTACGGCAGACAAGCAAATTGATGGACGGATTTGCAGCAACTCCGAGCAGGCGGACGACATGGGGGACGAGAACAACCGGATGAACAACATGAATCAGGGACAACCCCTGGGGATGCTAATTTAGGTTCCTCCGGTAAAACAAGTCCCACCTAATGGCGGTGTTCCATAGGCAGACGCTGCCAACCCCCAGCTTCCTCCCCAGGGGCCCACTATGGAGTATTTCTACACTCCACGGGTTGCTGACATCCGCCCCGTCATCCAGTTCCCGCCCATCCCTGCCAACAACTTCGAGATCAAGCCATGCTGGATCCAGTTGATTACATCCTCTATCCAGTTCCATG